GCCTCTGGCTCACTGCCCGTGTCTGCGGTCAGCGCGTGGTTCAAAGGCCCCCGAAGGGCCAGCGGGGCGCGTGCAGGTCCACAGTCTACAGAGTTCCGCGCGGCCTGCGGGCGGCTCGGGAGCCACCACCTAGGAACCCGGAGGGCGCGTGCCCGGCTGCGGGCTGGATCCCCAGCAGGGGGCGCGCACGAGGCAGCAGGTCAAGGATTCTCATCATTGATGTTTCTTTCTCCCTCTCCCTCTCTCCGAAATCAATTAAGAATATATATATTTTTTAAAAGTTACATTCAATTTCACTGCACTGGGTAACGTATAAAGCACAGTTCATAATGGTGTTGTTTCTTTCCAGAACTGAAAAGCTGGGAGAGAAAACGTGAAAATGGTGAGCACGCGGAGGGTAGAATCTAACTGTTACTGTAGTTAAAACCCGCAGAGCTGTGGGAGCACTGGCGGCTTTCCAGGGGTGTCATGGAGCCCACCTATCAGACGTCATCCGTCCCTGCTCATCGTGTCGTCCGTTTGGAATGGTGTGGGGACTTCATGCATGTCGGTGTTGTTGGACTTTTTTTTATTTCAACATCCCGAAGGAGATGATGCCTAGTTTAGGGGAATCGTGAATGAAGGCCCAGAGCCGGCGACCACCCTTTCACCAGTTTAGGTCAGATCCCTCGGGCTCTCCTGCTACACGGTCAGCTGGTATATGGGCACCGAATGCAGATTGTACCCGCGCTAGCCAGGTGGGGGCACCAGCCCATCATGGCTATTGAGCAGGCAGGCCTCACAGGACTGGACGAGTCGCCTGAGGTGTGTTGTGTTTTGTTTAATCCACACCCGAAGGTATTTTCCCATTGATTTTTAGAGAGAGGGAAAGACAGAGAGAAACATGAATGTGAGAGAAACACATGGATTGGTTGCCTCCTGCAGGAGCCCGGACCAGGGCCTGCAACCGAGGTGCGTACTCTTGATCGGAATCGAACCCGGGACCCTTGGGTCTGCAGGCCGATGCTCTATCCACTGAGCCAACCGGCTAGGGCTGGCCTGAGGTTTTGAGGGCTCTTCTTCCCTGGGTTCGCCTCAGCACCTGTACTCAGAACAGAGCATCTGCCGGGGCAGGTGCTGACACTCACTGTAAGGAGCGCCCACCTGGGAGGAGGTCCCTGTCCCCGCCCCCTTTCCCTGGTTCTTTTTGCCTCTGGCCGTTGGGCAGCAGCCTGATTGATGTCTGGCAAATGGCACAAACCACAAGCATTTT